TTAAACTTGTTGTAAATATGTTATTAATTTGTTAAATTGTTAAAATCACCATAAACTCATGTCACCCTACCATATTACCGCGAATCAGCGGTATACACTACATTTTTTAAAAAAATTCCAATTTTATTATCCAGATTTCATCATTTAGATGCATTAGCATGCAAAAACCTTCTTGAATAATCATGATCACTCCTAGATGATCATGATTAGTCCAAATCACTCCAAAACATTCTTAAATAATCTTATTACGTCACAATCAACCAGTATAAATACCGCATGGTTCGCTCCATCCCAACTCATTACTGAGGAAGGACACCATAGTCCGAAACGTCTAATCAATAAATTCTACTTTAAAAACTACCAAGGACTTCATCTACTTTTACTGGTTTGAGGGGCTACTATTATACAGACTTCTACTTTTCCTGAGACCCCTTGTGCATCGCTGAGATCCCAGTTTAGATGTCTTCCTGTCACTAGCTTCCAACTACTACGGACCTTTTAGTACGAGAGTTGTTGTCGTTTTCCCCGGCTTATTCATTTAAGATAAATGTTATTACATATAATACACTGAATAATATGGACTCTCCTAAATATCTTTAAGAAATTATTACACCCTACACTCCCTCGCGTTCACTTCGCTCACAGAATGAGAACCTTCTCGTATGTCCTCTTGTGAAAACTAAAAGTGGTGAAAGAACTTTCGCCCATAGTGGCCCAAAATTATGGAATAGGCTATCAAAAAAAGACTAAAGAATCTAAAAACATGACATCTTTTAAGAAAACTCTCAAGATTGAACTCTTTAAATCTGTTTACCCTTAGTGCTAGTAACTGTTTTGTTTATGGTAATTTTACCAGTTCGGACATTTATTTTGTTCATTCCTTCAATGTGTTTAAATGTTTATCGTATCATGGTTATTTTCATCTTTTAAATATGTCTTATGTAGATAGCTCTCTTGAGCAACCAGTTTGTTGGATATTCAGCGCTTTATAAATAGATTATTATTATTATTATTATTAAGATGGGCCAACACGTTTCTTTGATCTGTTATATCACAGGGTCTTTCCGTTATGAAAATGTCTACAATACAAGTTGAAAGTACTGCGACGAGGATCATTCGATTGTAACCGATGAAATTTTTGTGAAATGTTGAAGCAATTTTAGTTTAAATATATCCTTTGTGTGTGAATTAGTCAATGATTTTTAAATAGTCAGTGCACATCTTTTTAGTTACATAGCAGGATTATATTTTGGTTCTAGAAAATTGGGTTTTTGTTGGATTTACTCTCTATATACCCTTGTATATTCAAATGCCTTTCAATAAAAGATGTCAGTCTGCCATTTTTAAACAGCCAATATTGTTGAAAGGCCAGCTCAATTTTCATCAAGGTCACCGAGATGTAACTAAGGTTAGGGCATGTGATTGTTAGCGAGATTGTAGGTTATGGTTAGGGTAAGCATTGGGGCTTACGTAACATTAAGGCAGTAATCATTGAAGCATATTTCCTGCTGATATTGTTTGAACCCATTCCGATAGCCCGATCTGAAAATGGGCGACAGCTTGTCTATAGAGATTGACAGGTACCGACTATTTGGCGCCAGTGTGAAGTCTCATGAGGATATTATCATAGACAGTAAAATCATGACGAACTGGCCAATATGCTTTTAAAATACTAGGAAGATGATTACATATTCGTGTATTTTACTACAGGCAGGGTCTTTCACCTGTTCACGCTTAATTTCCATGAGCCTCATTTATTTTAACAGTAATGTGTTGAAAAAAGCCGATATCATAGCTTCACATTCTGATGTTAGTTGTTTTTTGGCCAGTACCCGATAAGGGTGATCTGGAAAGCGCGTCGCTAAAATTAATAAATCTCTGTATTCTGGCGGGTAATTCATTAACACATTTACTACCGAGTAATGATATCAGTGGTTTATGGTCAGTGCCATCTCCTCTTTATCTATTTCAGGATATCGCGTTTCTTCAGGTCTCAAAGTATGAGATGCAAATATAACTGGCCTCCATTTACTATCACTAGCACGTTGAAGAAGCACAGTCCCAAGTCCATACTGTGACACATCTGCAGTGACTTTGGTTTCGTGATTTGGATTATAATTAGGTGGAAAAGGTGATTTTGAGATTATGATTATACATATGATTTTATTAGCTTTTCATGTAGATCTCATCATTCTTCTCACAAAACTTTTTACAGATTCAAAATCGCATGAATTTTTTTTTTTTGGAGGTTCAAAGTTGCGATTTTTGACTTTTCGCGGAAGAAAGGTTTTTCAACACTTTGAAAAAGTCATTTTTGGTGTTTTTTGTGACGCCATATTTCATTTCATATCAAAACTATCAAAAATGTAGATGTAAATTCATGAAATACAACTTCAAGGCTAATTATGTTTCAATTTTCACATTTTTGTAATAATTACAAAGAATTCCACAGGAACTGGAAAATACCTAAGTTTTCTCAAAAATTCCATTTTCTCAGAGCGATTTGGGTCAATTTTTTCATCAAAAATGGTCTTGTGCATGTTATATCTGAAATATTGAACCTGGTTGTTATGCATTTTAAAATCAGTATCTATCAAGTAAGATTAACAGAAAAAAAATTAGTAAAAATATCTATATGCCTTCTCTCAAGGGCTGGATATGTGTTCAATTTTGAACAATTGTCCGCGGCACACATTTGCCTATTTTTGGGGCATTTTGGTGACCTTAGTAAAATAAGAAGGAATGGAGATAGGGAAGTGAAATTATGGGAATATGTCAAAAAGTTTGTGAATTTTTAAAATTACATATTTCCAATCTGCCATATATTATCGATTTTGGTTGTCATAGCAACCAAAATGGAAAAAATGCAATTTTTGATCATTTTTAACGCTATTTACCATAACCTAAAAGGTGATCACCACTTTTAAAAATAAGCATTTTAAAATATTTGAAACCCATGTAATATCAAATGATATGGATTGTATAAGTTTGAGCAAAATATTAAGGAGTTTGAGTGGTTACCATAGCAACCACTGTATATTTTTTTAAAAACGCATCCTTTTCCAATAATTTTCTCATTAATATTAATTTTTACATTATTTTAAGTCAGTAGCTATTGGGCAAGATTGAACAAATAAATAATAACAAAATATTTATATGCCATCTCTTTATATGCTGGAAAGGGGTTCACTTTTGAAAATCATTCCGTAATAGGAAACTGCCCAATATGAAGGAATTGAGATTTTCAAGTGAAATTTTGTGTACAGGTCAAAAAGTTTGTGATTTTTTAAAATTGCATATCTTTACTCTTGTATATAATTTCATATATTGTTGTTATAGCAACCAAAATGAAAAAAAAACACCTCCAAAAATGCAATATTTTACCATTTTCAACGACGTTGACCATGACCATAAAGTGGTCAAAATAGTTTAAAGAAAGCAGTTCATATATTTAACACCCGTGTAATATCAATTGATGGAAATTGTACAATTTTGACTAAAATATGAAGAAGTTTGGGTGGTTGCCACGGCAACAACATTATCATTTTTGTTTTAAACAAAAGTGTCATTTTTCAATCATTTTGGTACGTTATTGATTATTTTGATTTAAAATTTTGAATCGCCCTTCTTCATCAAAGTAGCTAATCAAAAATTGTCTTTTCCAGCACTCAACTGGCATTAAATTCGCAATTGGTGGTGAAAAGGAGATAACATGACCCAGGATCAGCTTTTCCTCCAGTCGATGAGTAAGCTTAATCCATGTTATCTTGGTTTTCAGTTTTCCAACCCTGGTAGTTATTAATAATGTAATAAAAACTGAGAGGGGTGGAAGGGAGATATCTTGCATGTCCCAGGATGATTAGAATCTAAATTAGAACACTTTCTCTGTGTAATGTTGATGTGAAGCATTTTTCTCTGTACAAAACGAGTACAGGTATAAAGATTCAATAAAGATTATTTTTTTCCATTGCTGCTCTTGTATTTTGTTATAGTCAAGCGAATTTATACTGTTCACGGAAATATTTTACCACTATATTCGGTTTTTATAAAAATAAACAATTCAACAAAATTATTTTTCACATATCAAGACAAAAAAAATACACATGTCAATTCGAAAAAATTCATATGTCAACACTAAAAAATTCACATGTCAAGACGAAAAAAAATTCATTTATCACGAGCACGTGACCCTTCAAGAGCACGTGACCACAAAAACCAATGACGTCACTGCAAACAAGGATGGTTGCTTTTCATTTTTTCTGGCCGATTTTTTTGCATTGAACATGTCACGGAGAACACCTCATCCAGATAATGAAGTTGATTTTTATCCCTTCCGCGTTTTGACGAAACGAACAACTTATAGTCTGACGGTCCCGCCATTTTTTTCTTCCCAATGATGTCATCGGTTTGTGTGGTCACGTGCTCTTGAAGGGTCACGTGCTCTTGAAGGGTCACGTGCTCGTGATATATGATTTTTTTCGTCTTGACATGTGAATTTTTTAGTGTTGACATGTGAATTTTTTAGTGTTGACTTGTGTATTTTTTTGTCTTGACATGTGAAAAATAATTTTGTTGAATTGTTTATAAAAAACAAATATAGTGATAAAATATTCCTGTGAACAGTATAATTGACTTGACTATAATAACAAAATACAAGAGCAGCAGTGGTAAAAAATAATCTTTATTGATATACGTCGTTTTGTACAGAAAAAAATGCTTGGAAGGTGATGAAAAAATTGTTATATACTCGATTTTTTTCTCTTTCCATACAGAAAAACGGTCTTGCAATTAATTCCGCTTTGGCTTGCCATACAGGATGATTAGAATATAAATTAGCACACTTTCTCCTGTTAATATTGACTGGGCATTGGGGGCACTTCTGCTAACATTATATGTAAAACTCTTCATCTTTCAAGTTGTTTATCTGATCACTGATAATTTCAGTGGTGTTGGATTTCTTACCAATAACAAACAAATGCTTTCAATTAAACATTTTATATAACTGTAGATACAAGGAATAGTCCTGTGTTGAGCACGCGAAGAATGTTTATATTATTTCATTTGCGAAAAAACACTTTACTCCGAACGAGAATAATCTGCAATCACAGCTAAAACGACTACAACTTCAAATCTTGTCTACTTCAAAAATCTTCATCCATTACTTCAAAGTTACACAAACACAAAATTGCAGAAATTTTAAATGGAAAACTAAAAAGAAGAAACACATGGTATTAAATTACCTATCTCTAATTAGGTTACATTGCACAACATTAAGATAAAATAAAATTTTAAGAAAAAGAACCTTCACATTGGAAAGTGAAAATTAGAACATAAAAAAGCCATTCACATCAGATTCAGAAACTATAAAAAAAAAAAAAAAAAAAAAAAAAAGGGCTCCCTGCTCCCCTACACCCATTCCACAGCAATGATACAGTTTCTGTTTAATTCAGGCCAAAAAAAGTAAGCAGTTTTCTCCCATAAAATTTCATTATCAAGCTCCTAAATACTGTACACAAAATATATCGAAATCAAATTTAACAACCCATTAATCAAATTTAACAACCCATTAAACAAGTATTCCAAACTGAATCTCCAAGAAAGTTACATGTAGATAACTTATAATGATGAAAACACATCTTGAAAAATTAGATCTTGCACATTCAATATTTTCTATGCTACTGTTTTACAAATTACATGTATGACAAATCACACAAATATAAAAATATAATACAAAATATAATAAATTTCGAAAAAAAAAATTGTTCAGGATGGAAGACCTGGCAAAAAGTAATAGGTTGTGGATGGTTATGCAATATAAACAAGAAAAAAAACCGAAGTTAAAATAGCTAAGTCTCTAACTCAATATCATCCAAAATCTTCGACATTGAAAACACGAATTATTTGTTAATTTTAATCAACATTGATGTTGTGATCTTACCGGGAAAAGACGGGCTTCTGATATCCAATATTTAAGACAAAATAAATATTTTACCATTGGTACACGAATCGTGTACCATAATGCGTTTCAGGCCCATTCTAACAAGGGACTCGAAGAACGAGGCTAGACATTCAAGAAGTCATTTCAAACGGTGACGGCATATTCATATCGGGAGAGTATGCGCAATACATACTATGTAGACTAGAATAACCAGACGCTAGAAATTTTCATTCGATTGAGACTTCAGACATATTTCGCCAAACGTAACTGATTTGAAATTAGAGTAAAAATGGAAACAATTGAATGTAAATATGTTTATATATATTCCTATTACATTATTATATGCGTTACGACCCATTTGTGTCAATTTCTAGGTCCAAAATATTAGCGATTTAGCTCCTTTTAAAAAAAATGGCAAGGTACTCTTTCCTATAGCTAGTTCACCGAAATGTCCTGTTTCCTCAAAAGCATAACAAAATATAAGATATAAACACAAGCCCTAGATGAAATTGTAGACGGACACCAGTGACAACCATATATATCATTCTGTCCACGTGGGTTAAATCCCTAAGAATTACACAGAAACTGTAACATAGCATTCCACTTCCAAAGGAGATAAAATAGTATCCTCAACTGCATAAAAATACTTTCTGATTGGCATTGAATAACCAAATGATTACCATAGAACATCCTACTTTAATAAGACTATAGAATATAAGGTGGTAGCCAACTAGATATCCCATTCAAATCAAAAACATCAATCAGTTGCAGATAGTATCTCATCATTTAAAAGAAATAAAATAAAAACATTTAAAAAAACGAAAAAACCCCAATAAAAACTAGATCTGCATAGCAGATATGAAAGCTTTCATATTAACTGCAAAGGGGGTTATTAGAATCTATTGAAACAATAAGTATAAATGTCATCAGGTATCTGAAAAATTACATTTACCTTATGAACAAAATGGGAAAAATACAAAACAAAAATTGTCGACTTGTGGCTACCATCCAAGGCATATTTAGAAAACCGTATATTATATACAGAGTACGCAGGACAGGAATTAGTTGTGCTTCAATGTAAACCGGCCCGTTTCTTGCCTTTAGTTTTAGAGTTAGGTGTGATTTTCAAAGGATTCAATCGGAAATCGCTGAAAATCAATTGGGTTCTTCATCTCATGACCTTAAACACTGTATAAATTTAAAGTCAATCGGATATTGAATTTAGCCTCTAGAGCGTCCACAAGATTTTTTAAAGTGATCAAGGGCAATAACTCTGACGGTAATTATCGGAAATGGCAGTAAATATCAGATATAGCTGAAAATCAATACTGTAGGCATCTTCGTGTCATGACCTTAAACACTTCGCATAAATTTAAAGTCAATCGGATATTAACTTTGGCGTCCACAAGATAATTTGAAGTGATCAGGGGCCACAACTGAAAATCAATCGCCTACTTCGTCTCATGACCTTAACCACTGTGTATAAATTTAAAGTCAATCGGACATTAACTTTGGCCTCTAGAGCATCCACAAGATTTTTTTTAAGTGATGAAGGGCCATAACTCTGACAGTAATTATCGGAAATCGCTGAAAATCAATTGGCTTCTTCATCTCATGACCTTAAACACTGTGTATAAATTTAAAGTCAATCGGATATTGAATTTAGCCTCTATAGCCTGCACAAGATTTTTTGAAGTGGTCAAGGACCATAATTCCGACAGTAATTATCGGAAATCGCTGAAAATCAATAGGCTTCTTCGTCTCATGACCTTAAACACTGTGTATAAATTTAAAGTAATCGGATATTAACTTTAACCGGCCGGCCGGCGGCGGCGACGACAATATACGACCACATTTCAATGTGGGCGTATAAAAATTAACCGATGGCATATAACATTTAATGTATGATAAAGTCAAAATAGTCGATTTCGGTTTTTGGTGTTGCGTTCATTTTAAAAAAAATGTCTTTTACGGATAATGTGTATAGTACTAATAGCAATCACATACGGAAGAGGCGACAAGATCCCTTTGCATTTGGAATTTCAAAATTAATTAAAACCAAATTTAAATTCCGAAAATCGGTTGTTTATTTTTTGCTGAAACTCCTTTTTTTTTAATCTGATCAAAATGGGAATAAGTCACAGAGTGGTAATGGGCGTATTGTGTCCAAATTTCATGGTTTTGGGACAATCGGTGACAGTGTCGTGGCGAAATTCCACTTTTTTCGCGCTTACAGAAGCCGTAAATGGCGGAAAAAAACGAATGGCAGGAACCGTGTCAAGAACAAACGACCTGAACGAATGCAGGTATCGCCTTGAAGTTTTCAGTGCACCTAGGTACCAACGTGAAAAGTTCCTCGCCGGAATTTGGTAGTCAACGTAACTTTGGTTCCAGCGTGGCGCATGCGCGAAGTAAAAAGAAATTACGGTCGATTTTGGGATTTTGGGTATATTTCGGAGTGGTTTGGTAGGCGACGGTGGATCATTGACTCAGATTGATCTAACATGGCGATCATAACACAATATGATAATCACTTTGAAGAATGAGCAAATTTTCGCGACCGGGTTGATTTCCTCTGCCCAGGCAACGTTCCTGTGCTCCGATTGCCTTCATATTTGCACAGAATGTACCTTTGGATTCTAGCTAGCACATAGTAAAAATAGAAGAGTGTTGGATGCCGAGAACGTTCAAAATAAATTCAAAAAACCACCCACAACAATCAAAGGTTTTTTTTTGCTTAAAAAATTGCCGTATTTTATCAAATTTTTATTGTTCTTGATATCTGAGGATTTTCTCAATTTAATATGTGATAATTATCATCGCAGCGCAGCCAACCGCTAGAAATTCCAGAGATTTGGACCACCGGAAGGATGCCTCAGCAGTCAAAAAAGGTCAAAATAGGCGATTTCGGTTTCTAGTGTCAATACATCATTACGGTCATTTTAATAAATTGTCTTTTAAGGATAATGTGTATAGTACCAATACCTATCACATACGGAAGAGGCGATAAAATCTCTTTGCATTTGCAATTTCAAAATTAATTAAAACCAATATTAAATTCCGAAAATCGATTTTTTGCTAAAACTCTTTTTTTTTTTAATCGGATCAAAATGGGAGTAAGGCACCGAGTCTGGGGTGGTAATAGGCGTTTTGTATCCAAATTTCATGGTTTTCGGACAATCGGCGCCGGTGTCGTTGCGAAATTCCTCTTTTTTCGCCCTTACTGAAGCCGTAAATCGTGGAAAAAGCCGAACGACAGGAACCATGTGAAGAACAAACGACCTGAACAATGCAGGTATCGCCTTGAATTTTTCAGGGCACCTAGGTACCAACGTCAAAAGTTCCTCACCGGAATTTGGTAGTCATGGTACCTTTGGTTCCAGCGCGGCGCATGCGCAAAGTCAAAAGAAATTATGGTCGATTTGGGGATTTTGGGTATATTTCGGAGTGGTTTGGTAATTGACGGTGTATCTCAGATGGCGGTCATAACACAATATTATAATAACTTTGAAGAATGAGCAAATTTTCGCAACCAGGTTGATTTGCTCTGCCCAGGCAACGTTCCTGTGCTCCGATTGCCTTCAAATTTGCACAGAATGTACCTTGGGATTCTAGCTATCACATATTAAAAATAGAAGAGTGTTGGATTCCGACAACGTTCAAAATAAATTCAAAACCCACCCCCAGCAATCAAAGTTTTTTTGCTTAAAAAATTGCCGTATTTTATCGAATTTTTATTGTTCTTGATATTTGAGGATTTTCTCAATTTAATATGTGATAAATATTATCGCGGCGCAGCCAACCGCTAGAAATTCCAGAGATTTGGACCACCGGAAGGATGCCTCAGCAGTCAAAAAAGGTCAAAATAGGCGATTTCGGTTTCTAGTGTCGATACATCGTTACGGTCATTTTAAAAAATTGTCTTTTAAAGATAATGTGTATAGTACCAATACCTATCACATACGGAAGAGGCGATAAAAACTCTTACCATTTGCAATTTCAAAATTAATTTTGCACCAATATTGAATTCTGAAAATCGTTTTTTTTGCTAAAACTCTTTTTTTTTTTAATCGGATCAAAATGGGAGTAAGGCACAGAGTCCGGGTGGTAATGGGCGTATTCTTTCCAAATTTCATGGTTTTCGGACAAACGGCGCCGGTGTCGTGGCGAAATTCCTCTTTTTTCGCCCTTACTGAAGCCGTAAATCGCGGAAAAAACCGAACGGCAGGAACCATGTGAAGAACAAACGACCTGAACGAATGCAGGTATC